AAATCTTCATGTCATTATTTTGGGGGTGGCAATCCAAAGAAAGTCCAACCAGAAAGACCTGCTATAGGGACATGTTGGCACCTTTCAGTAATTCCAGTACTTAAGAGGCTAAATCAGAAGGATCAAGGGACCAAGAGTTCAAAGCCATCCTGAGTGAGTGCAGATCAAGAGGCTGTCAAGGAGAGTGAAGGACCCAGTTTTTCATTCCTTCTTTAAAAAGAAAAAGTCTAATTTCATTCCATATTTTATGTATTTGGACATGACCATACATATTTGTCTACAACATGTTTTATTGATGAAAGCAATGCACTTCAAGTAACGACCAAGTATCGAATCATTATTATAATAAGCTTCCCGGATCCTGATTACCTTGTCAAAATTCGAGTGAAGAAATATGGTATGAACCAACACCTTTTTTTCTGATGTGTCCCTCCAGTCAATTTTAATAATTTCAATTCTCTGAGCAAGTTGAAGTACCAAACGATTGTGCTGGTCCAAGTCAGCATAACTGTAAATGAACTGTATGTGTTATAGAAGGAGGCTAAAACAAAGACTTGTGGTTTTACCTACTGAAATGATTTCCCTTTATAGAGTTTCTCTGTCTCTATTCCTCACAATCTCTCCCATTCTTTTCACCTTACCCATTTTCTATACCTTAAATAGGTAGACACAGACATGGAACTGAGGAAAGGAAAGAAAAAAGAGAAGGAAATAAATACAAAGAAAGATGTGTAGACTCCCCAGGTTCAGAGCTATAGAGTAGAGCATTCGAACAATCAGTAGCATCATTGGAGAAAGTCATGGTCTTAGATGGATTGCCATGTTTTTAACCTACGCGCACTGTCCAGGACTGACAAAGTTTGCTTATGACAGAGTAAACTTAACTGCTGTAAATCACCAAGGCCTGAGCCTACAACAAAACAACTTTACTTGCCTAAAATGGTTTTGCATATTTGAATATTAAACAATTGTATAAGGCAGTACCAACCTAATTACTTTGATCAGTTTTATTTCTCACAACTAAAATTTTCATGATCACTTCTCAAGCTTTTATTTAGACTGTCTACCAACTATTCTACATGCTTTGTTCTCAGATATGCATGACCACGGCTTTGGATTACACCTGCAAGGGCATTCGATTGCAGTGAATGTCATTTCCCGGCAGGGGCCACACCGACAACACCCCTGACAAAAAATTCTGCAGTGCTGCCCTTCTTGGTTTTATCCAGTCTCTGCAATGAATTCTCAAGGGTTATGCCCAAGTTTACCTGCGCTTACTGCCTCCTGCTTTCTTCTCTCCACCCTCTTCCCTCACGTTCTAAAGTACATCATGTTCATTCCAGGCTAGAAATCCCATGGATCCTTTTGCTCTGCCTACTTGGTTCTGCTTCAGTTCTTTCCCTGACCAGCACCAGACATCCTTCAGGCTTCAGCTGACCTTCTGTGTCTGCACAGAAATCTCCTACACTCCCATATTTTTTCCCATTTAAAGGAATTCCTTATGATCCTGATGAATGTTAGTGGTTTTTCTTTTTTAGCCCAATACTTTCAGTTTGAATAACATTATCTTTTATTCAGAAATAAGAATGGAAAACCTGCCTGGCCAGTGGTGGCACACACCTTTAATCCCAGTACCCAGGAGGCAGAGACAGGTGGATCTCTGAGAGTTCAAGGCCAGCCTGGTCTACAAGAGCTACAAGGACAGGCTCCAAAGCTACAGAGAAAACCCTGTTGAGAGAGATAGAGAGAGAGAGAGAGAGAGAGAGAGAGAGAATGCAAAACCTATGTTGGACACTTTGGTATGCAGAATGGGAAGTTAGTGTGGGCAAAAATGGAGATGAAAAAAGAGGTCAGGGATTGATTCAATGATATGAGATACTCATTCACTTTTCATTCTGAAAAGATGTTTGAAGAATTGATAGCTCTTTAGCACTTACCCCATGCCTGCTCTTCCTCAAAATATATGGAAAGCCCTCACAACACCTTTTTAAGTACGTCTTTGGCCCACAAGCACATTTTAAAATTAAGTTAATTAGAATTTGAATGTAGCTCCTAAGTTTTCCTGGTGCCCTCTAATTTCTATTTCTCTTAGGATTAGGTGAAGAGTCACTTTCAAATTTTTCTATTAATTTATGTGAACATGCTATTTGGAGAAGTCCATTTCCTGCTAAAGTTTCCATGTCTCTACACCACCATGCATGACCACACATTTCTCATCTCAGTCTTTATCTCAGTACATCCGGCACCCCTGGCCATTCTATAAAAACTCCTCTCTCGTGTTCATGATGACAGTGTCACCTGACAGCTGTCCTATCACTTGGTTAGTTTTCTGAAGCTTCCTGTTACAAGACCCATCCATGTCAAGTCAAGCCACAGATCGGTTTTACGATCTAGATGTCAATCTCACCCTAGCTCTCTCCAGTTAATGTCCTGAAGACCTTGGGTCTAGATATGCGTTGGCTTATGACTTCTAACTGTTGGAGATCTACAGAAAGAAAAGGCTAACTATCTGTTTTCACCCAGAAGCGTGAAAACGCTTCAGACCGTTGGTAGCAGAGTCTTTACCTCCCTCTTAAACCTTTTCCTTGCCCATCGCTACCAGTCTTAAACAGCATTATCATCTACCCAAGTTGTTCTTTATGCATTCTGACGACTATTTTCAGTCTTTCTTTCCATCATCCCTAACGTTTACTTGTTTTATTAGTAAGTCCAATCAGCTCTGTTTTTAAGTACTTTCTGAATGGATCTGCTTTGATCTGCAGTTCCAGTGTTCATCTACATTGCTGCCATCGCTGGTCAATCTGAATAGCCTTACCTCTGTCCTTTCCTGTTTTGTGATCAAATTACAGTCATTTTCTTCAAGGAGGCCAGAGAGATAGCTTTAAGAAAAATCACCTCATTAGCTATACAGTACTTCCATAACAAAGACATAATAAGTTTTTGAAGAGATAAGCATGGGAAATATCTCAAATTTATCAGTTCACAAGGCATAGTGTCTTCCTGCTCCTACAGGGGACTAATTTAAAGGCCCCTAAGAATACCTGCATACATAGAAGCATCAATCTTTACACCCAATTATATAATATTTGCACATAACCTTCACAAGCATTACATATTTTAAATCTATACCTTAAACCATCTTTGAAATAGTCATAATCAATGCAGTGTGAAGGATGTATACATATCTGTTACAGTAGATTGCTCAGGAAATCGTGGTGATAAAGGTCATGCACATGCTCCATACAGAGGCAATTTGGCTTCAAATATTTTTATTCAAAGATGGCAGAACACATGGGTATAGAACTCACTCACAAAGAGAGACAAGTGTAAGCATATATTGAACCATCATACTCTACAAATATATTAAATATATATATTACAAATAGACTATGTCTCTCCTCAAGGTTCTTCCTGACCAGTGTAATATTTTTACCCATTACCATGCTTTTTAAAAAATAATATTAAACCTTGTAAGATTATTAATTTGTTCGCTTCTTTCTCCCCACCCTATGATGGAATGTGTCCATGGCAGAGTTCTGTTTTCTAACATCTCTTACCCATGGTACTTAGAAGACTATTAATGCTTATAAAGTGTTAGGCAAGGATTTGTTGGACAATGTCTCATAGGTTATTTAGTACAGGTTTTTCCCATTCTGCCCAAAGCCAAAACCCAAAGCCAACTATTTATTAGCATCTTCAAAACCATATCTGACCTGACCCTATTAGTGCCTCACCCAGGGAACTTGACTGTGAATCCCAGCTCCCTGGGTGTTCAGTCTGGAATAATCTCCAGAGGTTCACTCCCTCACATGCTCCAGATAGACATTGAAACAGCTTCTCAGTAGGACTCACCCTAGTACTTAATCTGGCACTCCTGCCCCACCCCCACACTCCCGAAACTTCTGGAATATCTCTTTCCTGCCCTCTACTCTATTTCTCTTTAGGACCTGTGAGTCATGTGTCATAGAGGTAACCTGTTCATCTTGTCAGCTCTTTGTCCCCAGATACGTAGTAAGATCCGCAGGGTTAGGGACGTCTGCTTATGTCCATGTCTGTCTATAGAGTCTATAACAGCCCTTGCTGCTATTTAGAAGTATTTTTTTTGAATAAATGAACAAGCAACTGAATATATTATTTTCTCAAAGTATTGAACAAGTTGAAAACATTGAACTTATGAAGGAATTCTTTTAATTATTTATTAAACGGAAAAGTATTACACAGACTAGTCCTCCACTTATTTAAAGAGGGCTGAGGAAAGAAGCTCAGCACTGGAAAGACAGCTATAATGACCGAAAAAGGAGTGAAATCAGCCAAGTAAGTAGTGCCAAGAGCAAGTCCATCTAGTGATATTGTCGCTTCCTGCATCAACAGAACATCCATCCACACCATACCTTCTACACCTAGCCATGAAGAAGGCCAATCATCTCCCTTTAAAGGGCATCTTTACAAGTAATTTATGGCAGGCATCTGGTTGGCCCTGTCTCTTTTTATTGGAATTGTTCTCCTGCATCTCAGCATTACCAGCAATTGCTTCAGAGCTGAAGTATTGGTTAACCAGCCTCAATGAATCAACACAAGAAACCAGACTCATTATGTGAATAGTCAGTGTGAAGCCCATGCTCGACCAGGCCGGAGTTTCTCAACCTATGGTTTGCAAACCCTTTGGAGATCGAATGGCCCTTTCACAGGGGTCATCTAAGACCATCAGAAAACACAGATATTTATATTATGATTCACAACAGTAGCCGAATTACAGTTACAAAGTAGCAATGAAAATAATTTTATGATTATTGGGCTCACCACAACATAAGGAATTGTATTTAAGGGTCACACCATTAGAAAGGTTGAGAACTACTGATCTAGGCTGAAAGTCAAACATTAGCTTTCTACAATGGGGGAAATCAGCAGATGCCAGCACTGATGGACCTGGACCCTTGACATCCTTGTTTCCAGAGGAAGCAGAAACTGGAAGACAGAAGTACAATGTGGTACACCATGAGTTAAGAGGATAACTTTCCCAGGGTTACCTTCCTTATCAGGTCAAACATGTCTGTTCTAGAAATGACCTATGAGGAGGGAGAGCTGTGGTTTGCTTGCATTTGACAGATTCTTTTTATTGCCACTTGGCAAAGATGAGAACAGGCTTATCCAGTTTCATCGGAAATGTTTTGCTTTCCATTCAGCAGCAAAGATAGTAAGAGAACCAGGGAGTTCATAGGCAGTCCTTAATCAGAGAAGTCTCCTTAATGCTAGAGTCGCTGGCAGGTGCGCACCTTGTGAGGATCCACAGAAGTTCCTGCTGGTAAGAAGAGTGGTCTCCTGTGGGTAAGGAATTACCTTTGGAAACTATGAAAAATTGCCCTGGGAGTGGGCTGGGTGGAATCAGAAAAGCGCTTCTCTTGTTTGATTCCTTCAAACTGAGCTTTACAGTAGCCTGAAAAGCCAGTGAACTTATCTACCTGTAATAATACCAATGTCCATCTTCTCTACTTTACAAAAGTTACAGCCATTAACCAGTACATTGTATGCATACGAAAGTAAGTATGGCTATAACTAAATATTGAAAACTGCGGGGATTCTCTTAAGCAGGCTCAAATCAAAATCTACGTCGTTGCTAATAACCCGGTAATTACACGCATTTAGACTGGAGTTCCACAGCCTTAGAAGTTTTGATCATGTTGCAGAAAGCTGGCAAGCATGTTACAGGTGTGTGGGCTTTAACCAAAAGCAGCTTCTCCTGAGGAAGGCCATCATCACCCCAGTAGATGGTTTCCGGAGGCTTAGGACGATAATGTTGCAGTGGGGAAAGTCTTGGAAGTGGGGCCACTGGCAACAACACTCCCTCCCTTCACACACCCACTCTCTAGATGCAAAACTTTGATGAGAATTTGAAAGTAATGGGGCCAAGACTGGAACACAGAAAGCCTACTTCACTTTCTGTGGCTGATTCATCTCAAGGAAGTGCTGAGACAAGTCCTGTCTCTTGCCTGGCCAGCCTCCCTGGGTCCTTTCTCTCTGCATACCAACCACTCTTCTTGCTGATAATAATAGTTTTTACTTTTATTTATTTATTTATTTTGATACAGATGACCATGCCTCTGTCCAGTCTTCTTGTTTGGGTTTGCTTTTTGTTCCAATCAGCTATAGAATAGGTACACACCAAAGCAAAAGGGTAGATCGAGTTTGTGGGGCTCGCTAGGCTTTCTGCAGGGAACGGATGGAAGGCTGCAGACGCGGGGCCTGCGTCCTCCGGGATCCCCCTTCCCCAGAAACGCTGCGGGCACCCAGAGTGGGTGGGACCGAATTCCAGCCGCCAGCCGGCCTTCCCCCAACTCACCAGCCCGAGGAACAGCCACAGCGAGGGCGCTGGTGTCAGGTTTCAGGGCCGCTTCGGTCTTCCCGAGCTCCGGGACCCACCAGCAGCCACCGCGCACCCGCAGCCTTACAGAGCCACTGTCATGGGCACCGCTCCCTGCGTCTGCAACCTGTGGCTCCCAGTGGGTGCAACGCCAGGCGGTCCCCAACCTCTGCCTGTCCGGACTGTGAGTGGCAGGGCTGGTAGCACCACCCGGTAGTCCGCCTAGGCGGCTGGGATCAGGAAGGTTTGTGTGAGAAGAAGGCGTGTCTCTGAGTCCTAACGCGGATGTGCCTGGCTCACCTCGGGCCAGTCTGGCTAGTGACTCAACCGCTGCAATAAGAAACACATTTGACTGCTGGTGGAGTCTCCTGTGGGGGCCCCCCGGGCGCTCGTTTTCATTGACTTATTTTTCTGGCTTTGCGCTGACACCTCTTTCAAAGAGCCTGGAGCAGTCAGTGTGGGGAGACCAGCTTTCATACGCAGTTTGCCTCCACGGTGTGTGTGTGTGTGTGTGTGTGTGTGTGTGTGTGTGTGTGTGTGTGTGTGTGTGTGTAGCCTCCCAAATAGATGGCAGAGAAAAGCATCCCGTTAGACTGGAAACTGGAAGGAAACTGCATTTCTAAACTTAGGACACAGCCATAAGAATACACAATCAATCATCCATGCCACTGGAATCCTTCCTTCCTAAAGCCATTTGAGGACTAATGGGTTACTGACAAACCAAATAATAAGTACAGCCACTAAACTAGTATTTATTAAATTCACAGTATGTGGCAAGTCCTATACTAAATAAACACTTTGGTTTTCCCCATTAAGTGAAGGTTCTGTGCAGCCCGTGGGTATTACATTTTGGACATACTCCGGCATCCCTATGCTTTCAGACTCATGGTTAAGGTATCCAAGACTGAATACGAGGAATAGCATTTGACATATTCCTTCGCCAAGAAAATAGTTCCAAACCTGTTGCTTACGCTCACGTTAGAGTTACGGAGACGATGACTTAGCTTTAATTCTTTAACTCATCCCTGACGCTATGCTTCAGTGTTTAAAGGTCTGCTGCTGGGGAGCATTTCTTGCAGAAAGCCCGAAGCACAGACCAAGTACAAAGATGTACCTTCCTTAAAGATAAAAAATATTAAGGCTAATCGGGGCTGCAAAGTGAGTTTCTAGTCAGACCAGGATTCCTGCAGTGAGGTCTTCCCAAAATGAGAGAAAAATGGAGGATGGAGCAGGGCGAGGGATGGGATTTGTATAGTGTGAGTCAGTAGTGTAGAACAATGCCTGGTCACTTTTTTTTTATTTATAGAACCATTGCCTGCATATACTATTTTAGTAGCCTTTAATCTACCTTATCCTTGCAAAGTATTAATTTGAAAAACTTTAAAATATATTTATTGATTTTATTTTCTGTATATGAGTGTTTTGCCTTTTGCCTGCATGTGTGCATGTGCACCGCGTGCATGTCTGGTCCTCTGAAGGGTCAGAAGAGGACATCAGCTGCCCCTGGAACTGGAGCCAGGGATGGTGGTGAGGGACCATGTGGGTACTGGGGACCAAAGCCTGCCCTGGTCCTCAGAAAGAGTGACAAGTGCTCCTAAAAACTGAGTCTTCTTTTTGACCTTTAAAATCCTTTGACTCATAAAAATAGTTTTGGCTCTTCTAACAGAAAAAATAAAATGTGTGAAGGTAATAATCTTAACGGCTCTTTGTGCCTGGGGCTCATGTGACACAAATTAAACAGATAAAATTTCTGTCTCATTCAACGAAACATCTCTGATGTATACACAGATACCATTATAGTTGGGAAACTTCTAGATAAAATGGCAAGTTCATCACCCGTGTCTTATCCTCCTCCAACTCCTTGAACACAAAAAAATAGATCAATTATGAACTTCTAACAATGCCCTTAAACCATAAAAAATAAAATAAGAGAGAAAAGAGACAATTGCAGTGGATTCTTGTAAAGACATTCGTTCAGCCAGCTGGAGGCTGGTATTGACTTAGAGAAGCCTGTCTGTGGGCGGAGTTAAAGACATGGTTATCAGCTCTTCTCCCTGCAAAAGCCAGAAGGCGGAGACTTGATACAGCAGAAATACTGGCACAGGCTGGCCACAAGTGGTGGAGTATAGGGCTTGGTTAGAGACACATACACAGACTGCTTGGACCTGAAGCTCCCTCCCCACTGCCATGTAATCAACCAACTTCCTTCTTCTGCTTCTTCCAGCCTCCAGTCTTTTCAGAGAAGGCAAATAGGAGTCATGGGTGGCTTACCATGAGCTGAACACAGGCCTTTTGACTGGGCTTCTAGTGAGGGTGAATGACAAAGAAGTCAGTCCTCAGCGACGTAGAGCAACAAAGAAAACAATCTTCAGTGAAGGAGAGCAAAAGCTACATAAAATGTTGGAGGGAAAAAAAAAGTGACCAAAACCAATTCTAGAGAGTTCTAGAAGATGCATTCTTTCTGTGCAGAAAGGAATGGAAAGGTGACAGAAAGGAAATAATGCTCCAAGAATTCCACAAATAAAGACTATGAGCTTGTGAGATCAAAAGTTCCCTTTACACTTACTCATTAGCAAATACACATCACCCTGAGTTAAAAGTAACCCACAAATAATTAACATGTCTTCCAGAACCACAGTCAAATCATTTACACAGGAAAAAAAATAAACTGTGTTGAATTCTCCAAGAATAATAGCAAACATAGATGCTTCTTTGAATGCCTTTACATCTTAAAAAACAAGTTTATTTTGAATCTAGAATTGCATGCCCAAATGAATTGTTAGCCATGTAAATGACGGCATTTTTATGTTTTTAAGCACTCAAAATGACTCATTCTTCCATGAACCATCTGAAAAAGACAGCTTACTCAAAACAAGTCGATAAATCAAGAAGAGGTGAGCGAAACCCAGAAAAGTCAAGTCCAACATGAAAGAGAAATTAGAGTTGCTCAGAAGAGCTCTCATGAAGCAGGCCAGGGGAAGAAGGAGGCTCAAAGTAGCTCTATCTCCAATCAAAAGAAAAGATAGTAGCACTGGTACCCGCACACCGAGAAATTAGCCACTGTGCTTGCCAGATCCTTTCTGTTCTCCAGAGCATCCCTCTAGAACTCTTCCTGAGCTCCATGCACACGTGGAGCATTCAGTTCTAGTCAAGGCTATGCTGCAGATGTGCTCGGCATCACTGCTGGGCTACATCCACAGCATGGCTCTTGGGAGCCTCCCTTCCCTCCCACACCTGTTCTTTTTATCTTGATCCATTCAGATGCAATTAAAGAAGGAAGGGCTCTGAACCCTACAAGGCAGTACAGTTTCTTTCTTTCTTTTTGAGATAGGGTTTCTCTTTGTTACTCTGGCTGTCCTGGAACTCACTCTGTAGACCAGGCTGGTCTTGAACTCAGAGATTTTCCTGACTCTGCCTCCCCAGTGCTAGGATTAAAGACCTTCAGCACCACTGCCTGGCAGCAATAAAGTTTCTAAAGAAAGAAAGTTATGACCCCGAAAGCTTGAAGCCAAAGAAATCCCAGCTGGTACTTCTGAACTCTGACATGAGCAAGAAGCAAACCTGTATAATGACAATGAGATTTTGAGGTTGTTTCGGCAATTAGACTGCTCCGACTGCCACAATTTAAGAGAACATTTGAAGGCAGTTTTGAATCATTTAGTTTGTGTACAAAGTACTACATAACATTTAAAAGTACCTTATAAACTCCAGGAACAACAAAGTGTTGTGTCGGAAAGGAAAGACGTGATAGAATACCACTTCATTCTGGTGTGAGTATAATCGGTATAACATCCACAATGAACGTAACCAAACTGCAATAAAACCGCTTATGGAAAGTGCGGAGAGGGAGAGACTGGGAACGTGTCTGTGTAAGAAAGCTAGTCACATCCTCAATTATGATCATATAAAGTTTGTGAGTATTGTGTAAGATAGCTAAATAATAATTACTAGGCTAACAAACCATTTAGAAATATGAAAGGACAACCAGAAAACATGAAATGAAATTTACTCAAAGGTCTCTCTCTCTCTCTCTCTCTCTCTCTCTCTCTCTCTCTCTCTGTGTGTGTGTGTGTGTGTGTGTGTGTGTGTGAACATGTATGCACACAGGTACTAGCAGAAGGTAGAAGAGGGCATCAGAGGTTCCTGGAGCTTGAATTGTAGGTTGTGATGAACCACTCTATGTGGGATTAAAGTGGAAATCAAACCCTGGTCATCAGGAAGAACAAGAAGTGCTGTTAACTGCTGAGCCTGCTCTCCAGTCCCCTTAAAGACTTTCTTTATTTGATTCATTTTTAATGAATTTATTCTTCGCATCATATTTATATATGCAATATTTTCTGGCCCTGCTTCTTCCCCTTCCCCCATTTACCCTATTTCTGCTCTCATTCCCACCCACATCCTGAACTCATTTTTATGTCTTCTTGTTTTATATTACCTTAATAAAAATATAGCTTGGAATTCTAATCCTCTACCTCTACATCTCTAGTGATGGGATCATGCATGTATGATACAGTGCTTAGGTCAAGAATAGGTAGATAATAGATGATAGGTAGATAAATAGATAGATAGATAGATAGATAGATAGATAGATAGATAGATAGATAGATAGATGATTGATACATAGATGATTGATAGATAGAGATAGTAGATAGAAGATAGAAAGATTATAGATGATAGATAGAAAGATAGATAGATAATGATTGATATAGATAGTAGAAGATAGAAAGATGATTGATAGATGATTGATAGACATAATAGATAGAAGATAGAAAAAATATAGATGAACTGATAGATGATAGATTTAAACAACAATTGTATTTTGTTTCTTCTCTCTTGTCTTTTATGGTATGAGCTACATATTTTATGGTCACAACACTGACTTTGAGTCTTCAGCATCCCCTTCACCATTTCTCCTGCTTAGACTCACTGTTGAACTTCAAGGTTTCCAGATAACGTCAGTCCTACAACAGATGACAGTGGAGGCAGCCATTCTTGTGCAGGCAGAAGGGTGTGCCTCCACCTTCTGCTGATTTATAGTTCACGTGGTGTCTTCCTAATCACAAGTACAAATCAGCTCCTCCCCAGTTGAAGGAAACATCAGAGCGAGCATGACTAACCAGTCACAAGACAGGACTCCCAGGCCTTGCTGGTTGTCCTGCCTACTGCCAAGGATGTAACTTTAGGGTATGTGCATGGTGAGAACTTGAGACAGTAGGTTGCTTCAACTGTGAAGCACAAGGAACTCTTTCAGACATGTTTTCCACACTGGGCAAGCAGACACAATTGTATCTGGACTATCCATGGGCTCCGACCTTCCAGTAACTTCTAATC